AATACAACTGCACCATAAGATCGCCCAGAAAACTATACCTGGGAGCCCAATGCGCCTACTCGAAAGGTCTATGCCCCCCTGTAGCAATCCGAATATTATCAATATGAAAGGAGTTCCGAAAATAAAAATGACACCGAAGAAAACTGCTTCTAAAAAGAGAATGACAAAGGTCGAAGCTACTTGGAAGGCGTGCTTGATTGGTGTGAATATCATAGACAGTGTCGTTTGTGGGGGTGGGGATGGTTCGGCTTGTGGCAGTAAATGAATCGATACGTGAAATTGTTTTGCTAACGCTTGTAGTCTTTCCTTCTCATGATTGCGAATATCCTGTATTTGAATAGACAAGTCGCGGATGAGAGGAAAGCTGATCAGACTTTGTTTGATGACATCGATTCGCAAAGGCCATTTCTTTTCTATAAATAGCGCAAGATGCCGCAACGGATGTTCAGGAGATGGAGGTAGTAGAGTTTGACCAGATCGAGCCCACACACCTACGGTTCTTAGCGAGACGAATCGATCCCAAAATTTAGGGGTCAGTGAGAGGTCTGTGTGAGAGGAGTGAACCATAAGTGAATGGAGGAGTGGACCGTGAGTCTCTAGTAGCTGCTTGGGATAGTATGCGCCGTAAAGAGAGAGATGCTTCAAGTTCGGGAGGTCCCAATGAGCTTCTGCTGTTCGTCGCATATCCACGGGATAAATTGAAAGAGTCTCCAGATGTGGTAGATTGATTGTTTCTGAGCAATGGACATCACCTTGAACGGTTAGTGAGACAAGGTTGGGACAAGCTTCAGCTAAACCCGGCCAAAAGTCTGGCCAGGTATCCGACCCAGAGATACTCAGGAAGCGGACATTCCTGAACTTGACGGACCCAGCCGGGTGCCTAGAGTTAGGCGGTGGAGTCCAGCCAGAAAATCGTCGAATACGAAGCACGGTGAGTTGGCTCACGAGTTCCTTGTATTGTTCTAGAGGAATTTCGAACAAGATGCTGTAATGCTTGAGATGCATACTCGTAATTCCTCTCGTATTCGTGTGAGAGGTGATATCAATTTTGTTAGAGAGTGTGCGGTGAGGATAGGGTCCTAGGATCTCGTTCCATGTACGACATACTAGTCGATAACGGAACCAGTGGTGATAGTCTGGCGGCAGAATTTTATGAAATTGGAAGTGTAGTTCGGGATAGGTATCGGAGTCGCAGTACGTATGCGGACTAATGGCTGATTCAGTGGCATACCAAAGGATGATGCTCCACAGTTCGACCGGAAGTGTAATGTAAAATAGGCTAGAAAGTAAATGGATTCTACGTAGACCTGCCAAAGCCCATCGTTCGAAGAAGAGTTGTCGACCCCGGACAAGTTCGCGGTCGATTGGATTGTAATATGAAGCTGGTCGCTTCGTATTGACATGTAAGCGACCGTGTAGAATGCTTGATCTCTTCATTTAGGTGTCTTGGTAAAGGGGCAATAGCCACTATGAACATGACTATCAGATTGACCGCATAGCAGGATTGGGGTGTTCCCTACCGAGTAGAAATCGGTTATGTTGAGCGGTAATAGCAACCGTAGTTCTGATGTGGAGACCTGGGAATAAAATTCGGTAGTATTCAAGAGGGAGCGTGATTTGGGTGTGGTCAGTCTCCGTACTTAGCGCTGTATTCACTTTAGAAACAACGAATACCTTATTCCCCGACTATCTCCAGCCTCCATAGCGTATCAGTTGGTTACTCACGGCCAATATTAGTAACATACCTCGCAATCTGCGCTGCTAGGTCGCTCCTAGTCCACGATTTTCTCTGGAACCTTCGTACTACGAATACCAGATCATGGTGTAGCAAACGAAAATGTTCTGATTTCAAGGCGGTGCGGTGGCATTTGAATTGCGGTGACTACCTCATCCCCCATTCGACCCGGTTAGCTAACTTTCGCTGAAGGCCACTGATGTCTCTACTCCTTTCTGGGGGTGGTTTTTCATTGTCAATACTTTGAGATGCGCTTATATCCTGAGTAAAAGTCTTTAATGAAATAGGAAGCATACATATGTCATTATGAAATTAGAATTAATGGAAAATCCAGCGTAACAGGAAGTAGATACCACAACACCAAAGTACCCAGAAGGCCATAGCAGACCCCACTACCGGAATATCCAATTCCTCGTCTTCTCCTCTGATCCATTCTACTAATACGGCAGGAGGTCCGAGAGTGGCGGCAAAAATGAAAAAGGCAACCTTTCCAGCCAATTTCTTGACCATTTTGAAAGCTCGATTGTTCTTGATTCGGCCGAATGATGCTAATATAAAGCGTTTGACTGGTATCCATAACATCCGTTTGAGTGGCATCAATATCTTTGAAAGTATCGATTGTTCAGGTGTGAGTGGCTCAAATTGGGGCAGGAAATGAATCGATACACGGAATTCTTTCCCTAGTGCTTGTAGTTTAGTCTTCTCTTGTTTGCGAATATCTGGTATTTGAACAGACAAGTCACGGATGATTGGGAAGCTGACCAGACTTTCCTTGACGAGTTCGAGTCGTAAAGGCTCCTCCTTCTCGAGAAAGATCGTGAGGTGCCGTAGTGGGTGTTGGGGAGGTGGGGGCACCAGAGTCTGCCCCGGTCGAGCCCAAACGCCTATTGTTCTCAGCGAGATAAAGTGATCCCAAAAGGTAGGGTTCAATTGATAACCTGGATGAGAAGAGTGGATCATTAGGGTATGAAGAAGTGGACCATGGTGTTCCAATAATCGTTCGGGATAGAATGGTCCATAAAGGGAGAGGTGCCTCAGGTTTGGAAGGGCCCAGACGACTTCTACTTCGACCGCTAATTTTTCGGGGTGAATCGCGAGGGACTCTAGGTGTGGTAGATTGATCATGCCTGAGGTATAGACTTTACCTTGAATGGTCAGTGAGACAAGGTTAGGGCAGGCCTCGGTCAAACCAGGCCAAAAGTATGGCCAGGTGTCTGCACCGGAGATGAACAGGCAGCGGACATTACTAAAGTCAATAGGCATATGAAGGTATGTAGAGTTCGGTGGTGGGAACCATCCTGAAAACTGTTGAATGCGAAGCACGGTGAGTCGGCTCATCAATTCCTGACATTGATCTGGAGGGATTTCAAACAATAAGCTGTAGCGGTTAAAAGACATGCTTGTAATTCCCTTTCTATTCACATAAGGGATGACACCCTTTTTGTTGGAGAATGTGAGGTGGGGATAGGGCCCTAGGATCTCCAGCCACGTACGACATACTAGTCGACAACGGAACCAGTCCTGGAAATCCGGTTGTGGCATTTTATACAATCGGAGGTGAAGTTCCGGATAGGAATAAGAGTCGCAGTATGTATGCGGACTGATGACCGGTTCCATAACATACCAAAGAATGATACCCCACAGTTCAACTGGAAGTCGAATTGCGAACGGGCGCGAGATTAGACGCATCCCACGTAGGCCTGATAAGGCCCACCGTTCAACGAGGAACTGTCGGCCCAGGATGAGCTCGCGTTCGACTGGGTTGTAATATGCAAGCGGATTATCTGTATTGACATGCAAGCGGCCATGTAGAATGCTTGATCTCTTCATCTACGTGCCTTGAGAAAGGAGAATGACTAGAGTCCATCTTTACTGTCAGATTGAATGCCTCTCTTAACACGGTAGGATTGCCGCTTTCCTACTTACTACAAATTGGTTGTGTGTAGAAGGAATAGTACCCGTGGTCCCGAGTGCGGAGACTCGGAAATGAATCTGGTGGAGTTCAAGATGCGGTTTGCACCAGTCGGAGCTGCGCTACCGTCCAATCGCTTTAAATCCAAATAGCGGTGCAGCTTCCGAATACTTTCATTCACTTTAACATATTAGTTTTCAAATCGGAGTTTGTATTTCAAAGAAGACTATTGAGGATGTGGTTACAGTGAAATCCATCCATATATTCTACGTCGTTCGTCCGGGACACCTGTTTAGCTAAATTTTATTTATGCTCTTATATCGACCACTTTACCATATATTAGGTCTAAGAAAGGCCGATTTGTTGCCGAACAGGGATCTGCTCCACCAAGTTTTCTCCACCCATCACGTAGACATTCTCACAGCATTGGATTTTGCTCTACATACTGACGGGTTCATCCACTTTGACCCTTCACACACGTGAGGAGCGAGTATATCGTGAAGCGCGTCAGATATATGGTTGACTCCAAGGGACAGCTAGAGTTTCTTTGCCAGTTTGGAATGTCGTACGGTTCATCAGACCAGTACCGAAAGTCGCCAATTCTACGACCTGTCGTCATTAAGCGTATTGATATTTAGCCATAAGAATTCTCATTGAAACGGTTAAACACACATACCTGGCTCTGCCCACGATATTCCTTTAGATGACGGCTCACTCAAGGGTGGGAGTTCTCTTCCCGGGAACTATTCTAAAGTAGCATAACTAGAACTGTATTAGCCCATTTGTCTGAATCAAAGTATCGTCACATACCTGGTATCACAGAATGTTCAGAGGTTTGAGTCATCTTTTTGCAGTAATCATATTAATACGAGGTCTAGCACCTGTATCGCCTCGAGAAAAATGAACGGCAATTATTTGACCGCACTGAGCCCCAGCCTTCAATTGTACCTCGCAATCCAGGTAGCGGCTGGTCCTAAATCCATTTCTCCGGGTCCTTCGGTATTGCAGGTTCCAAAGAGTGATATAATGAAGGAAGTTTCGGCGTAATTAGAGCGTTATGCCATTGGGTTCGAGATCACCGCTTCGTTTGCTATGACGGCCTTGCATTCCTTTGTAAAGAGGCAGAGAGGACGAGATTGAAAGCAAAAGTAGTCCTCCACATTCACGCTTAAGCGTGAGCCAACATATCACATGCAACGAAACTATCCACCTATCAGTGCATAAGAGTTCGTCTTTAGCGGGGTGCCGACTGACAGTAAAATGGTTAGTTCTGCTCACCAAGTTGCCAATTTCGCTGTCTACGAAACTTTCTCCGAATTAAAGAACCAACGACAAGGGAAAATGGGAATGTAAAATAACGAACGGAATGGGGTTGAGTCGAAGAGGGCAAGACAAAGCAATTCATCGAAATTGAAACTTGGTCCTCCCGTATTCTAATTGATCGAAACATCTCTCAAGTCTCTCCTACAGGTGTTTACGCTTCGCTCACAAGTCTTTAGCACTCGGGGATTTTGATCATGCCTTGGCCCCGTTACGGATAGAGCACAGGTCTGGCCACTAGCTCGGTCTTGGTATACTGGAAGTATCGTCTCTGTATGTCAAGCGACTACTCAGAGGTTTTGTTCACTTAGCTAATAAAACCTTTCATTTTTCATTTACTTCAGTCAACTCCAATACGCTGGCACGGACTTTCGAAGACCGTGCGTTGAGTTGTGCGGACTAGCCTGCACCTGCTCCTACGGTAGCAATCTATCACTTGATAGAGACCAAGGATATGTGCCAAGATCGTAATAGCAGTATTCTATTGCTTAGGACGTGGTTATTGCAATGCTACTCTCCATGAGACTTACAGGCCCACTAGGTGTGAAGAAATCGGCAGTACCAATAGTTCTAATGGATGGAATTCTTCCAGTTATGGACCCAATACCAGGTGTTGAGCCCCTATTCTTGTCGGGGGTGGCCTTCTGATATATCGCACCCTAGGAATCGCATTAGGAGATTCTAATTCATGGCGTAGACATTCGTGTGGGGAAAAGCGCATTCTCGGGCGCATAGAAGGCAATGGAACTTAGAATTAGGTTCCCCCCAATTCTCGGTTCCAATCCAGGTGTGAGCCCTAAACTATACCGCTGTCTTCGTCCATCTTCCCAACATGAACCTTTAGTTCCGTATTTACAAGGACAATACGATAAAGGCTTGGTCTAATCACTGGATAAACTGGTAGTTACCTATACGATCTACGCATGAGTTGAGAGAGAGCCGGTAAGCCACTCAATACCACGCACAAATTCGTCATCAATCAGGAGGCAGACTACTTCTATGGTCACTCGTTGCCTACCTGGAGGTCCGAAGACAGACCAGAATAGGGGTCACTAATCACGGCTCTGCATATTGTCACCTGATCATGTACATAATTCTCTCGTGTATATACATCGAATGAATATATTTTTTGTCAAAATGAATTTCCTCATCATTTTCCTTTGTGTAAGCTGATACTTTCACTTCACTAACAGTATTGAACCCTACCTCATCCGGCAAACTTCCAT